TGTAAACAGTAACAATGACTGCTCTTTTCTCTTTAACTTCCTATGAAATGTTCACAGCTGAACATTCTGTTTAAGCTCCTATGAAATGCCTGCCTGCCTGTATCCAATAAAGAGGCTAGTGGGATCTGATGGCAAAATAAGATTAGATTTCCTACTGAGCTACTAGATGACCTTAGATTAGTCACTATCTTGTAGCAGTCAATTCCCCAAAATTCGTTGTGCACAGTTATTCTTTCTCATTTATGCACAGAGAATTGCACCAAACTCTAAAGTCAGACTGTCTTGTTCTTCTGAACGGCTGTAAATTAATTACAGGGATGCTGAGTACTTATAATGTAGAATGGCAGCTTCAGTTGCATAGATGCCAGTCAGCAGACAGATCTGGGGCTTAGGTTCATCACTCTGACAATATGCTTAGTACAAGTTTAGAAGCAGTGCTCCTTCAAGTAGTTAAATATGTTCAGTTTGTGATAGCACATTATTTTTACTGTCTCCGTAGTTTGCATTGAACTTTGCTTTATTCTTTGATTGATCAAGGTAACCTGATCTGGGTTATGACTCAGAGGAAGCCCTCTTAGGAAAAAAACAGGTTAATCGCAGGAAAGATCCGTTTCATTTAGTATCCAGTTTTACCCTCTGTCACAAACAGTCAGCAGTGATAAAGCTGAAACTAGCTGCAGTACAGGATTCATAGCACATCATTTATGGGCAAGAGTATATCCTTTAACAGTTTCATCAGCTTCTGGAATTTAAGTTACCATGCAAAACCCCACACACAATGGGTATGTGCAAACTGCACATTTACTGTAGTCATGGAACGTTCCAGTGACGGAAGTTTGGGGAGTGAGATCAAGATGACATTCTTTTCTATTTACACCCCTCCTATTTTTACCTGTTGTTTCTCCTATCTTTTCTCTCACCACAAAAAAAAATCATTAAGGAAAAAGAGAACAGTGTGGCCCTCGACATAGAAGCACTCAGCCTAGAAGGTTAATATTAAGCCAAATGATGGTTTTAAAGCTAAATATTTTCATTTGGTTTGGATATTAGCAAATAAAATTGCTAATCAATTTTTCTCTGACCCTTTTTTATATGTAGCCCAGTAAGCTATGCTAAAAACAGTTCTGGATTTCCAGTTAACTCTGTGTGCAATAGGTGCATGAAAGGGAGAGATGCTTGTGACTTTCATTTAAGTCTTCTGAAAATTAGAAACCTTTGATTACATTCGGTTTTCAGCCCAAGCAAGCTTGCGTTGTTTTTGCCACTTGCAATTATTATTACCCCCAGTGCAAAGCAATATTAAAGAAACGTGCTGGCAGGGGCATGTATTGAATGGATGCCAGCAAAAATCCCAATAAAATCAGTGCAGGATCTGGTCTTTGACAAGAACAGATGCTCTGTCAGAATAAGCTCTCACTTTTCCTTAAAATAATTTCAGTTAAAGGGGTCATTTGACCCTTTAAGTTAGTAACCTGGCTTAATGTCTGTGCTTTCATTATCCAGTATTAGTCTTTATAATAATGCTGGAGCTCATGAAAAAAAATGTTTTTAAAAGATGAGAACCTCTAATTGAGCAAAGTAGGCCAGCAGACTTTAGCAGACAAAAGCAATACATATAAAACATAACTACCTTCTGTCCTCTCCACATGCCCCTTCTATGTAGTTCTGATCATTACTGCCTCACTGTGAATTAGAGCATTATCTTCTGTCTTTTGCTTGGCTGCTCTAATATCCCATACCTTTATGCACACAGTGCCTATCCTCTTATTATATAAGCTGAGAAAGTAATGGCTCTCCCATTTATGAAAGAAGTAACCCATCTAGCAAGAGAAACAGGGAGCCCATGTAATCTTTGTAAAATGGCAGGTTCCAAAAGCAAGATTAAAGGAACAATAGGATTAAGGGAAGGATAACAAGCCTTTTGTATACTCCTATAGTAGCTCACATTTCTGCAGGCTAAAATATTAATATGAAAAGATACATCATTAGCTTAGTGATGTGGTTCTGTTGTTCAATAACCCTGAAATATTTCTTTTTCACCATAGATTTTAGATGTCCAGGCAATGAGCAATGACACATCTAGCCAACTGTCACTTTGCTATATGTTGGGCATTTCCTTTGGGCTCACCTACAGTGGGTTAGACCAGTGGTCCCCAACCTTGGGCCTCCAGATGTTCTTGGACTACAACTCCCAGAAGCCTTCACCACCACCTTGGCTGGCTAGGATTTCTGGGAGTTGAAGTCCAGGAACATCTGGAGGCCCAAGGTTGGGGACCACTGGGTTAGACATTATGTACATTACAGTTGTGTTGGGGGGGAAATATCTCCTTTGGGGAACCATTCTGACAGGCCCTGAGATCAATACTATCAAGCTAGCCAGATTCTTTTCTTGTTGGACAAGCCCCAGCTCTAGGCCTAACATCTTATTTTTAATATTATTGCAATGTTTTTGTGTCTATATTAGCCTGGATTTATTATTGTGTAGGTTTTACTGTAGAGGGGGAAGTGTTTGAAAGAGGTGAGATGGTAAGGTCACTTTAAGAAAATAGGTTAGAAAGCAGTGAGACATGGGCAAGCTGCCTCTGGAGGGGTCTATGGGGAAGTCTCGTGGTGCAGTGGTCAAACTGTAGTATTACAGTCAAGATTGTGATCCCAACCTGAATTCGATCCCAAAGCTCTTAGGCAGCCAACTCAAGACTGACTCAGCCTTCCAAGATTGGTAAATTGAGTACTCAGCTTACTGGGGGTGGGAGAAATGTATACCCTGCATAATTAAATTGTAAACTGCCCAGAGAGTGCTTTAAGCATTATGGGATGGTATATAAGCAGCAAACTTTGTTTTGCTTTTCTTTGCCCCTTCAGTTCAGTTATGTAATCTTTCAGTCAACCGGGTTGAAAGTGCTGTTGTTGAATGGCAGGCTTAAAAATGGATAAAATGCCAAGGGATTTAACCCTTCCTAGCTTAGTTATCCTGTTTTCTCCATGTAGCACCTGGCATAAAGGTACAGCTGCCGTCATCTATGATTATTCCATCTTGGTGTGTTCAACAATTACCCAGTTTTGAGTTTGTGTTCCCAAAAGTAGACTTTTCCGACAGAACAGAGATTCTGTTGGTGTACCAAAGACCCTACTGTCCACCAGTCCTGCTGAACTAGCTGAGCTGGTCTCTGTTGTACTACTGACGGAATTAATCTTTCATACTAAAACTACTCAAGCTCAGAATGTTAAGGCTTCCACGAAATCCTGAAAAGTATGAGTCTGTTCCAGGTGGTTTCTGGTCCTCCCCATTCATCAGGAATGAGTTGTATTTTGGTGATCTTGTTTCTCCTCTTGTGGAAGACTGCTAGATGGAATTATGGTGATCTGGGTGTGTGGCTGTTTTTAGTTATCTTGGTAAGGACATATCATAATAGGATTTAGAACACAGAGAGGGAAAATAATTCTCTTAGCATATAACCTTCAATTAGCTAGCAAGGCCAGTGGCCATACTGTTTGGGATATTATGGGAATTATAGTCCAAAAAAGTGAATACAGTATTCAGATCTCTGGTACAGGTTTGCTAGACCTGTGAGCCATATCAAGGGCAGAGAAGGCAATCTTTTAGCTAAACAAATAGCTGGCTAACCATGGTTTGCTCTCAGAATTTGAACCTCCTTCCTATGGAGTAGAAAAGCTTTCTTTCTTTGTAAGTGCCTCTTTGTATTTATATCAAACACCAAAGTAGAGGACTTAAACATTATTATCACAGTTCAAAATCATTAGATTACAGTTAGTGCATTGATTCTGTAACACATAACTCCTGACACTAGCTTGCCACTTGAAATAAATCCAAACAGAACAAATTCTTACCCAAATACTGTGGCTAGCTCACTGATACCTAATCACTTTTCAATCAAAACTGAAAAGTGAGAAGGACAACAGACACCCACCTGAGATGTCATCCTAGCCTAAAAATGACTGCCACACCAGAAATCCTAAATTTATCAATGTCTACAACTTTAAATAATTCCGCTAATACAGTACTATTTTACATTTGTGCATTAATTCAAAAACCTGAGAAAAGCAGAATGATGCACCTGTTTTTTTAAATTACAAATAAAAATGTTCTTATGAGAGTTCCACTTGCTCAGTAAAATCAAGTGCTGAGGACTGCACTCAGACATTGTTATTATTAATCTATATTAGGAGTTAAAGGTAGCAGGACTTCCTGCTCAGTTCTGACTGCGTCGGCCGCGAATCAGAACGCAATCGCTCGTTTTGGGGGGAAGAAATAGTGAAAACCAAAGATGTGATGCCTGGGGTAAAACCCAAGAAATATAACTTGTTAACAAATGAAGAGTTGCCGGACCCGTTTGGTCCAGAGTTACTTGATGAGAAAGCTAATAAAACAAACCCGTTTTTGACCGTTACATCGACTCCTGTGGTTATTCCCGCCGAATCCCTTGGTCCGCCCCCCACAGAAAAAGGACCCAATCACAACCCCACAGACAAAATTTATTCCAACACAGGCAAGCACACATACCAAAACAATTCAAAATAAATCATGCCCACAAATCATGTCCCTCGCAAGGCTGTTTAAAATACCTTGCTTTCCAAACAAAAACACACACTTCCTGGCCAAAAAAAGGTGTGCTCAGCTCTATGTTATATAAAGGGATATTCTTAAATCAATTGCAAGTGTGCTAAATCCAAAGCAAACCAAGGGGGTTTTCAACATGTAACTGCACCCTAAGACTAGCTTTTGCTTTCATGGCAAAAGTGCTGATTTTGTAGATCTTGGAAGCAGCATTTCATGTTGGCAAAATTCAATTGTTACTTCTTTTTTCATCATTATACCATTTGTTTCTTGATAAGCAAAACCCACATATATTGATCATCTGCATTTTTTCCAAGCCAACTAAACATTACCATCACTACAAGTGCATGGTTCTGAATGCAATTCTCAGAGGTAAAATGTGGAACACTGGAAAAGTCCAAATTTAGGAAACAACATCTCCATTGGTGTCTAGGAGCCATCTGGCCAGAGGGCTCAAGTCACGCGACCCTGGGTTCATCTGAAAACAACCTGCTCGTGAAATATGAAGAAAGTTTCTATTACTTCTATAATACAGTGTGATCACCAACTCATATTTTCAGTATTTTCCAACTGTAGTCAAATTGTTTGAGCACTTTGAATTTTGCAAGCGTTTTAAATTTCAGTGACGATCTCAACTCGAGGAGGGGGGAAGATTTGTTAAGATCCCTCAATCTGCTTAACGATTATTTTATGTCTAAATGGCTTCATGGGTTCAAGGCAATGATTCCAATCCCAAAAGCGAAGTCAGTGACAAAGGCTGGGATAGGAGATCCAACATGCTGTTAGAAAGGCTGCAACTTTGAACAAGGGATTCTGTGGGTTTTTTTTCTAAATGGCTTCCTCTTACCAAGCTTCCAGGAACACTTACATCCTGATGAACTATATAGTGACAATCACCTCCAACAGAGAAGAGCTCCTATTTTTGTCTCATCATAATTTTGTCCCAGAAAAGACATCCTTGAATCACAAAGAACGCCAAGTAGTCCCTTCCCTGAAACGCTGATTGAGTCATCAGATGCATTATTACTCACAATGGATGCCAATTATCTGAGGTTTCCATGACAACTTTTTTTCTAAGCAGGACTGAATTTAACCTATCCATTCAAAGTAACCCTTTAAAGTTATAAAAGTACACTGCAACTCCACTTTTCAAATTTATAATTTGAAAATCATACTATCTACTGGAGCTGATCCTTATGTGGGAAGAGATTTTGCCAGAAGAAATTTGATCCATACATCTAAGCATTTTGTAAGTAATGGGAAATAGGCTCAAAGTCAAACCAGGGGTCATAGAGAATACAGACTGTTAGAAGATGATAACAATTATGCCAGTTTTGTGCCCGAGTAAAAAGATGTGCAAATAAAGCCTGTGCTTACCTTCCAGTGACCAATCACCAGACAAAGCATGCTAATTTGCAACATTAGAAAGTGAGATCACTTGAGCTATTTCAAAAAGAAGTCTTCCAAGCACTTAAGGAATTTCTGTTTCTACAAACACAAACTCTGTGGTATTTAATTTGATATTTAAACTTACATCTTCCTTTACTCTTTTGCTTCTCTTTGATGTTCCAGAGAAGATTCGCTGAGCATTTCCTTCTGCTTTTAAACTTAACTACAGCTTCCTGGGACATACGTCAGCTTATTCAACTAATGGGAAACAAAGTAGGAACAAGCCAGGGTCAAAATATGTTTTCAAATCTTTGTTGTATGCCAGGGGTCTCAAACTGTGACCCTCCAGATGTTCTTAGCCTACAGCTCCCAGAAGCCTTCAGCACCACCTCTGCTGGCCAGGATTTCTGGGAGTTGAAGTCCAAGAACATCTGGAGGGCCACAGTTTGAGACCCCTGTTTATGCACATGCCTGCTTCTATGCAGCACTGAGGCAAAGGGCACACAAATACATGAAATAACAGAGCATATAAAAATATATGAAGGAAAACAGTGTATACAAACATGCTGTTGCACCTATTTTCAGTCATTTAATGTGACGTACAACTGCCTATTTGCATATGCCATGAAACTGTGTTACAAGAAATAGAAAATAGAATTAGCATGATTTCTCTTGATTTCCAGCCTCTGTCCTGGCCGTTTTCCTCTAAGGATCTGCTCTACATATTTTCCCCTCAAATATTCTTGCCATATCTGCTTGATTTGCAGTCTGTAATAACAGAAATTCTATCGGGCTACAGGCAAATGTATGCAAACTACTTACAGTGGTGCCCCCCATGACGACGATAATCCGTTCCAGGAAAATTCCCCCTTGGAATACATTGAAACTAATTGAATGCGTTCCAATGGGGAAATTACCTCATCGTCCAGCGAAGATCGCCCATAGGGGAAGCCATTTTCCAAGCACTGATCAGCTGTTAAAATGGCTGCCCTGCAAAGCATGGGTCCAGAAAACACAGGGTAGCCATTTTGCGGAGCCGGAAAAATCGTCATTTTGCGAACAAACGGTTCACGAAGCAAGGACCTAATCGTCGTCAAACAAAAATCCCCCATAGGAAACATTGTTTTGCGATCGCTATAGGAATTGCAAAAAGTCATCGTCATGCGATTTCATCACTCTGCGGGGTCGTCATCATGTGGGGCACCACTTTATATTGTATGGCCAGTAATTTTTTTAAACTACTAGAATCATCAGGAATAATGTGGACAGTGTGGTTGCATAGAGGCTGAATTGGTAACATGTACAGCATGTGAGATTGTACAATGTGTTTGCTGCTTATATGGCTCATATGTTAATATGAGCATCTTAATGTACATTTTCCATGTTTTAATGCAAAAGTGAACTGCTTAGCCAAAGGGAAAAGCAACCAGTAGCCCTCCAGATATCACTGAACTGCAAATCCTATCAGCCTTAATCAGTGTAATCAATGGTGAAGGATGATGGCAGTTGTAATCCAAAGAACAAAAGGAACTGGTACATCCAATGAATTTGATTCTGAAGGAGAAACAGTCTAAGGATGTAAATATATATATAAAAAAATCTCTCTTTATTTCGATTTTAAATGCCCAATGCATTTTGGCTTAAATTTTAAGGCCTTCTTCAAGGGCTGTACAAAGAGAAAACAATAGAAGGAACATTATCAATTTTTTGCATGTATACATTGCACTGCATATAACCATCTAAGATTATATACAATGTACATGTGAGGGTTCAGTTTTCGGGGCTGTCTGTTCTTCAAATAAAGGACGAGTTGGTTGAGGTAAATCAAAGGGTTCAGTATTTATTGCAACATCAACTCCAACAGGGTTCACCCCTAAAAAGGGGTTCAAAGACTCTTGAAACATATTACTCGGCTTTAACGGGGTCCATAAACCATTTATAAAAGGGTTTGTTGTCTCTGGGTTCCAAGGTCCTGTTAATAACGGCACAGTCCCCTGCCCAGGGTCCAGTTCTTCATCCAGGGATATCAACGGTAGAGTCTCTTCATCCCCGCTCCACTCACCCCAGGACGACCCGTCTCCTCCTTCGACTCCCCAGGGCCCGGGTAACCCCCCAGCTTCCTCAACTCGGCTATATGCCATTGTTTCTTACGTTCCAGTTCTCGTGCCACAGCTTCCCTTTCCTCCCGGAGTTTCCTCCTCCACTCTTTGGCCTCGGTCTCACCCCAGTACGACGGGCGAGGCTTTAGACCACGTTGGCGGCGTTTCTCGGCCTCCTCATGGGGGACTCGGACCTGCTCCCATTTGTGGGTCCAGGGATCCTCCATCCAGACCCACTCCCATCCCCCCAGTATTTCCGCCGGCTTCCCTCTTATATCTCCCGCCGCTGCCTCAATCTCCTCCCTCCTTCTCCCCGCCAAAGAATCCCCGGGTCCCGGGGAAAGGGGTAACCCTTTCATAGTCGCCTCCAGGTCTCGAGTATCTACCCCCTTATTCAAGGTAAGGGGTTCGGCGACCACTTGCTCCCAATCTGGGGTCTCCACGCCTTTCTCTTCCCGACGTGTTGGGGTCGGAGGTGGGGATGTCTGGGTGAGGAGGGTTCTCTTTGAGAGCGACGGCACTCCCACTAAGGCCTCCACTTTGGGGGCCTCACAGTACACTGTTCAGTGAAAGTTCCTATTAGGCTGTATTATGTGGATTAATTAGAGTGACCTGGAACAAAAGCTGTGAAATATAACATCCATAAATAGGGGATTTCTTCCTCAGCCCGGTGTTATAAGTAATCTGATGGAGTTGTGTACAGACCAAATGAAAGATCTAATACAGGCCAAAGATTCCATTATATATATAAAAACCAATTAACTAAATTTGCCTATTAAATACAACAATAGGCTGGATGATTATTCTCTTTGTGAACAATGTACAGAGTCCAAGATAGTTTTATATAATGCAATGTATACATCTAAAAATGGTAATGAGTTGTCCCACTTTTTTGTTTCCTTCTTTTGTTTTCACTTTATGAAGAAGGTCATAAATTTAGGCTTATGTGGGTTGGGCATTTTAAATTTAAATAAAAGGAGATTTATAAATTTTTACATCCCAAGACTGTGGTTTCTTCTTGTGAAGGAGCAATATGTGTCAGTGAGCCGTCCATAGTGATTGAGGCTACTGAAGAAGAGAGAGAATGCGAAAAAAGCAAAGAGAAACCAGAGAATGTAGGGTTGACAGTTACAACAAAAGGCGGGAGAAGTTGAAGTTGCCTGAGAAGACCATGCTACCCAGAAGGAGTTAATGCTTGGAAGGTATTAACCCTCAGAGTTTAAGCTACTTAACTCCTATTAACATTAATAGGAGTCATGTGTCTGGTAATGTGTCTCATGCTGAAAACCTTACTCCTAACCCTGTCTCACTTGCATTAATGGATTTCACATGAAGTGTTCTTTATAACCTACTGCTTCTTCATGTTTATCTCTACAATGAAAATAAATAGATCTGTTTTTGCGGCAATTTGACAATATCTCAGTACAAAGTTGCTGTAAAAACAACTACTGTATGCACTGTTGTTCTAAATTTAAAATAGTGAATATGTAAAACTTCAAGATAAAAAGAAACACATTAATTATTTAAAAAACTCTCAATGTGAGTTAAGTCTAATACTGTCAAGAAAAGATATACAATGGTGCCCCACATGACGACGATAATCCATTCCAGGAAAATCGCTGTACAGCGAAATCGTCATCATGCGAAAAAAAAACCCATTGGAATGCATTGAAAACTGGTTAATGCATTCCAATGGGGAAATACCTCATCGTCCAGCGCAGATCGCCCATAGAGAACCGCCGATCAGCTGTTTAAAATCGCTGTCTTCCGAAGCTTCTGTCTGGAAAACAGCCATTTTGCGAAGGGAGGGAAGGCATTTTGCGAAGGGAAGCCATTTTGCGGAACCGGAAAAATCATTGTTTAGCAAACAAACTGTTTGCAAAGCAGGGACCTAATCAACGTAAAGCGGATTTCCCCCATAGGAACCATTGTTTTGCGAACGCAATAGCGATCACAAAAAAGTCATCATCAAGCGATTTCATCGTTTACTGAGGTAAGCATCTAGCGGGGCACCACTGTAAAGAGTTTTAATACTGCATATATAATATCTGGAGGGACTATTTGTAATTAAATTAAATACCTATAAAGGCACCAGGAACCTATCCTGTCCTCTTTAGGAAATCTGACTTCTATAGTCAATAGTCTAAAGCAGGGGTCTCCAAACTTCACTGTGAGGGCCACGTAATAAATTTTCCACATTTTTGACAGCCAAAGGAATATGTGTGCACATACACACTCCCACCTGTCCACGTGCCAATGCGCATGCACAGGATGGATAAAAAGGCAAGGTGGGCTGGATGTGGCCCATGGGCCGTGCTTCGGAGACCCCTGGCCTAAAGTAATCCATCTCCTCCCCTCCAAAATATATGATTCTTCAGTTGTTGTAGAAGTGATACAATTTTGACATTTGTGAGTTATAATGTTTTTCTCTTTATAATATTTTTAAACTATTGTCCTCTGTATGAGCCTGCCAGGATCTTAAGCTCTTCAGAAATGTTTCTTTTCTGTTTGACCATCCTCATAGGTTCACTTTGGGCCTGTTCAGACTAGCCAATTCGAGTACTGGGTGGAACAGACTACAAAGGGTCTGTTGAGGTCAGGATAATGTGTTATTTGGAATGCCCCTCCTGTCTGAACAGCAAACAACCCTTTATAGCCTGATCAGCAATCAATTAAGCACTTCCCCTGATCATCTGCAGAGGTTCAGGGGAAGTGAAATTATTTTTTACAGTGAACCTCTCTCCCTCTGCCAATGCTGTTCTGTTTTCTCCCTCCCTGGCTCCCCGATTCCCTTCCCTCATTCTTCCCCCACTTTCCCAAACTCTACCTTTGAGAACTAGATGAGTCTGCTATTTCCTCACCAAACTGAGCATGCCAAAAAGAATGCATGCCCTATCGCTGGGCCAGAAAGGAGCACAACAGCTCCTGAAGGGGAAGGATGGATCATTCTAATTAGAAACACTTGTGGATGAGTTATCTTTTTGGGATCCAAACTGTGCCCTCAGTGATCCATATATCATTATCTATATGCCAGTGTACATGCCCTCTTAGTGAGAACACAAGAGAAGCCTTCTCAGTGCTGCTGCCAGGCTATGGAAGTTTCTTCTGAGGGAGGCTAGGTAACCCCTTCCCTATTGTCATTCCATAAACAGGTTGATGCATTTTTATTTAAGCAGGCCTTTCGCCAGTGATTTAAATGGCAGATGCTTTTTTATTATTGTTGTCATTTAAACAGTTTTAAACTGTATTAACTGAATGGCTTTTTAAAAATTTGGTAATTTAATATTGCAGTTGGTTGTGTTTATAGTTGGAGCTGTTTTTAAAATTAATGCTGTAAGCCATGTTGTTGGTGCTTTATAAAGAAAAAACAGGATGTAAATTGAATGGATGAATGAATTAATTAATAAATAATAGAAAAATTTATCTGGAATATGTATAGCAGGTAGGGATGGTACTTTCAGATTCTTTTTTTTGACTGCAACTCCCACAATTCCCTAGACAGACACATGGGAGCTGCAGCCAAACATTAAAAGTCTACACAGCACTTTTCATTACTTACAAGGGGGGGGTTCTGTGACCATTTCTTTCGCTTCTGAAGGAGGAAACTGCTCCAGTAGTATCTGTGTCTGGCAGGTAAAAGGTAAAGGTAAAGGTTCCCCTTGACAATTTTTGTCCAGTCGTGTCCGACTCTAGGGGGCGGCGCTCATCTCGCTCTTCAAGCCATAGAGCCAGCGTTTGTCCGAAGACAATCTTTCCGTGGTCACATGGCCAGTGTGATTTAGACACGGAACGCTGTTTACCTTCCCACCGAGGTGGTCCCTATTTATCTACTCGCATTTGCATGCTTTCGAACCGCTAGGTTGGCGGGAGCTGGGACAAGCGACGGGTGCTCATTCCGTTGCGTGGATTCGATCTTACGACTGCCGGATCTTCTGACCCTGCAGCACAGGCTTCTGCGGTTTAGCCCACAGCGCCACCATTTTGCTCTGTAAAATGGCTAGTCTTGTTGCCCATTCAACTCTGAAGATTAAACTCCACCTCTCAATGAACTACCCATCCAGTAACCACTGCAGCCCTCATGGAGTCACTCCCAAGAACCACTGGGACAGTTTTCTTCTTCTGCAAAGACAAAAAAAAAATTGTGAATAAGGTCCACATGTAAGTAATGAAAACTGCTCTGTAGACGTCTACATTTTTTTTGCCTGTAGCTCCCACAATTGTGCCTGGAAGAATCCTGGGCAAATTGTGAGAGTTGCAGCCCAAGAAAGTCCCAGGCCTAACAGCAGGGATGAACAACATATGGAACCTCCAATATTGTTGGACTGCAACGACCATCAGCCCTCACCAGTCCACTAATGCAAGTTCGTCACCTCTGATATACAACAACTGATTTTGAAAAAAGCCAGGTTTTACAGAAATGTAGTAATGGAAAAGGTTGCTTTTTGAATTTCAGCTCCCAGAATCCAATAGCCAACATGACTGCTGTGTCAAGGAAAATAGAAGGCCTGAGCAGAAGTAGAATGGTTTAATTGATCATCCATGTCTATCAGGTGTGCTATGACTCAGCAAGGATGATGCAACCAGAGTGATGTAACCTAAATGAGGTAATGCTATGATGTAATCTAAACTGTGATTGGTTATGGAAATGTATATATGTAAAGCTGTATAGTTAGTATCATCTTCCTGCTTGAAGATCACTGCTACCCGTCATGCTGCCAGTTTGCTGTAAATACACTCTGCTGAAAAAAATGCTGCCGGACTCTGTGTGAGTTATTTTTGGACTGCCTGAACTTCAATTTACTCTGAAAAACCATCATTTCCGCCAGATATGCGGACATGCTGCTATGTTTGCTAGAGGATTCAGGGACCAGTAGTAAGAAAATGCATGTATTCCATCTCTGCTTCGCATACCTATGGTCTCATATTCAATTCATGGCCCAGATCTATCTGTCCGTCTGTCTGTCTGTCTGTCTTTTATATTGCCCACCTGGATAAATCTACTCAGATGAAGGTAACGGGTGAGACCTCTACTAGGGATCATGCAGAATCACTGCCAGAGCAGACAACAAGGCTGGGCTAGACAGACAATTTGGGATAAGGCAGTTTACTATGTTTTACACAATCAAACCACTGGATTCAGCAACTAGCACAACAAAGTTTTGTGGCCCCTTGAAGACTATAGAGCTAACACATCACATCAAACATTGAACTGCTTTCCCTATATTTTTTTTGGGGGGGGGAGTCTTGTATTAATACAACACCTCCGTAGAAAGAGAACTAAACTTTTGCAGTAGTATCAGCACAGAATAGACTGGATATTAGTTAAGCCTGGATATCCGTTCCCATTAAAGTTAACTCATTACTATAGTTTCCAACAGGTCTGTTTTTTTCCTCTGCAGCCTTAGGACACAATCCTTACTAGCTAAGATGCTATGCTAAATACAAACCACTTTCAGCCTAGGGATGCTGGAATTAGGTAGGACTGCCCTTCCCAAGTCAAACTTTGTGTAGCACAGCAGCTGTGTCCCTGGGCTGGAAGGATTTGGATCTGGCATAACTCAGTTCATCTCCCACCCTGCCCCTCCTCCAATCTTAACCAGCACAGCTGTTGTGCTTCCAGATCTCTTGAGCTCAACCAGGACAAAGGCTCTTGTGCTAACTGCACAAAAAAGGCTCTTGTGCTAACAGCATAAGAGGCGTCTCTCTCTCTACTCAAAACTTATTATAGCTCACACATCATTATGTTAGGACTGCACTGTTAAAAATAGCATTTAATGTATTTTAAATTATTAAGCATGATGTTAGCCCTACTCCTCTCCAATTTTCTCTTTAAAACTGCTCATAATGTAGAATTATTATTCACAAAGCTTAGTCCAATTCAATCTTAATTACTGGTAAAAGTAGCAAAACATGCCTCTTAAGGATAACCTTATTGTACAGTAAGTATTTCAGAACTTTTTGATGATTTTCAATTAGCAGGCTGATTTGATATGCTATTAGAGATGATTGATTAGATTCTGGCAATTAGACCTAAAAATGAAGGCAGTAGGCATCTGGAGTTACGAATTTCTATTAATAGCTTTTCTCCATGCACCTCAGTTTTTCCAGTAAATAGACATGTGACATCTACTATCTTTTCTGACAAAAATATACTTGATATGATTTTCCTATAAAGGCAGTATAAAAACGCCATCTCCTCATCCCAACTGAGATTTGGGTTTGTTTGTTTTTACAATTCTTTCATTCAATTATTTCATGCTGCCAGCCTTACAGCACTGCAGGGAAGGTTCTGGGCAGAATTCCAGAATGACCTGTCAGCATCAAAAGTAGAAATGTAGTGACTCAGCAGATATGCCTTTGCAGTTCTACTGCATCACTGTTCAGCTGCCGCCTCCCTGAAGACCATATTTTCTTCTAACAGTAGGGATGTTAATTGTCTTCAATTCATTTTCTTTAGGTAGAGAATATTAGAGCAATGCAGAAGAAATGTGTCATTTGTTCCCAGAACAGAGGAAACCAATATTAAATTGATACAATTAATTTCTGTAAAATAACAGAGACTCAGTCCCTGCCAGGACTCTGGGTGTGTCCCCCCTCTGCATTATTTAAAATGGGAAAAATAAAAGGTATCTATTTTACAGCTGCCTAGTTACAAGGCAAAGCTTTAATAAAAGAAAAATGAAAGTTACAGCAATGCATTTCACAGATCCCTTATTCACATCAATAAGAGAGGTAGCTGCATAGACTGTGGATAACTACACAAATGATAGGCAGCTTGTGCCCCCCTACGTGTTGGACTACAACTCCCATCATGTCATTGACTATGTTGGGGAAGCTGGATATTTGTAATCCCACCTAGTGGTTCTCAACCTTGTATCTCCAGATGTTCTTGGACTAAAACTCCCAGAAGTCTTCACCATTAGCTGTGCTGGCCAGGATTTCTGGGAGCTGTAGTCCAAGAATATCTGAGGACCCAAGATTGGGAACCATCATGCAGATATCACATGACTGCGGGCAAAGCCCACTGGGGAAAAGGTAACATGGAGATTCCTTTTCTCTGCAAATGCAAGATTCTAGAGAGGATTACAGTTTGTCCACCTTTGATGTCAATATCCTAGATATTCATCTCTCAGATCCCATTTTAGACTGCTATCCTGTTTCCCCCAAAATAAGACCTAACCTGAAAATAAGCCCTAGTATGATTTTTCAGGATGCTCGTAATATAAGCCCTATTTAAATGAAACCCAGCCCTCCAACATTGTGCAGCAACCAGAAGATGACATGGCTAGATGCAAATAAATGTAGATGGTTATACATGAAAAAAATAAAAATAAAACAATTTTTAGTATATATATTTTAATTGCATTTTAATTCTTTTGCCCTTTTATTTTGCCTTTTTATTGTATTTTAAATGCTGTAAGCCGCCCAGAGACCTTCGGGTAGTGTGGGTGGCATATAAGTTAAATAAATAAATAAATAATAAATAAAACATCCCCTGAAAATAAGCCGTAATGCATTTTTTGGAGCAAAAAGTAATATAAGACCCTGTCTTATTTTCGGGGAACAGGGTATTTTATATTTAACAGGCATAAGCCCACCTGTACTCAACATACATGATTTCTGAGTATACATTTAGTGCATTTATATATTGCTTTTTCCTTCAGTTTGCTCAAGGTAAGGTGGTGATAAAAGGAGCTTTCCTCACACCTTCGAAACGACAGGTGCTACATCAGGTTGAGAGGACAAAGACTGACCTAAAGTCACCCAGTGTGTTTCACAGCTGCACATCAGCAATTCCCAACCTTGGCTTCCCAGATGTTCTTGGGCTAAACCCCCAGAAGCCTTTACCACTAGCTGTGCTGGCCAAGATTTATGGGAGTTGTAGTCCAGAACATCAGGAGACCCAAAGTTGGGAGCCACCACTCTACCTGGATCAAAACCTAGATCTACCTAGTCCCAGGCCATCCTCTAACCACTAACCTGCACCACCATCTTTATATACTTACCCAAATAGGAATATGCTTTTAGAGCTTTTAATGGTGGTAGTCATAAAAACTGGATATATACAAACCGGGTAAAAGTAAAACTTATTCCAAACATCACAATTTGGCGGTTTCTGTTATAACAAACCACAGCCTGGAATTCAGCACTGCGGCGCCTCCTCTCTGTCCCAGAAGCTTGTCTTCACGTTTAGGTGAATTCCCGCATGAAAACCTCAAGCGCTCCCTCTCGTGGCCAAGAGAGAAACACCAGAGATACTTTTAACACGAGTCTTGTGAACGCTCCCGTTAAGGCTTAACTCCATTTATTTGTGGTTTATGTAGCCCAGCTCTCTCAACGGATTCGAGGTGAGTTAACAATTATTGGACGCCACCCAGCTTATAGCTGGAGGTGCCCCTTCCAAAACAAAACAAAAGCAGCATCTCCCGCTGCCCGAGGATCAGGCCCTGCTTCCGTTTCCGCTGGGATGGCGGGGGGGAAAAAAAAGGAAACTCGTTGGCCGAGAAGGCGCCAAGGCGGTTCCACGTTGGGGGGGGGTAGAGAAAGCCTTTTTTTGCCGCGTTGGTGTGCGTCCCTTTCGGTGGTCCCATCATCCGCTTTTGTAGCAGCGGCATTCCTCCGCTTCCCTTGCTTCGGCTGACTTGCCTGTCCCCCGTCCCCCCTGCTTTTCTGTTCCGAGGTTTTCATCCTGTTGCGTCCCCTGCTTGCTTGCCTTGTCAGCCGCCCGGGCTCGCCTCTCCCTTGTGGCTTTTTTTCTCCCGTCTCTTTTGAGTCCCCTCCTGGCTTCCTCTCTCCCCCGGAGCAAGGTGTGTGCCTGTCGGGAAAGGGCCTGCTGTTGTATAATTACATATGAGAGAGAGAGAGAGAGAGGGGTAGCTGGGCAGGCAAGCAGATGAACAAAGCAGTTCTCCGACGCAGGTCTCCCCAGAGTGCGACTTACTTTCACACGAGTGCGGGTTCAGTGTCACTTGCTCCCAGGGAAAGTATGCAGAAGGTCGCAGTCGGAGGAGGAAAGTGGGTTGTGTGTGTGTGTGTAGACGAAGGTGGAATTCAAATTAGGAGCCTAAATAGTGTGGCAGAATTTGTAGATGTGTTGGCCACAAGGCGAGGTGATATGAGGTGTTCTTCTCAGGCAGCAAAATGTCTGTTTTTGTTTTTTGTTTTTTGATTTTTTTTTTTGTAAACCTCCAGTATAAGCTTATTTTTCCTACATCTCTCCATCTTTCATACTTTTCGGCTTCTCGCCCTTTGCTATTGCAATCTTAATACTTCTGCTAGTTGGGCTGGCTGTTTGTCATGGACTGTAGTCCTTCCCTGGAGGGGGAAAAACGTATCTTGCCCCTTGGACTATGTATGTTCTTGGAAATAAGTCCCCCATGAGTTTGTTTTAAATATGTTACCCCATTTTTCTCCTTAAAAAGGACCCAATGTGGTTAACGTAACTGAAAAACAATATCTGAAGCTGAAAACAGTAAGTATAAAGAGGCATAATGAAAAGACAATGATAAAACTAAAAAACAGTAAGTATACAAATATTTAAAAGGAACAAATACCACTCTGAGAAATGGTAAACACATGTTTAGTGGAGGTTACTTTCAGGTGGGGGCATATAGAATTGTGCCAGTAATGTATTTTTACTAAGGTGAGTTTGGTTGATTAGTTAATCCTAATGACAATTCAAATGTAACAGAATAATAGAACAGACCTAAGCAGAAAAATATATAATTTTTTTGACTCAATTTGTGTGTGTGCACAATTAAAAATATCCTTCAAGTGTCCTTCAAATGGGTTGGACTACAACTCCCATCACCCCCCAGAATGGACAGTATATCTGGAAAGCACCAGGAGGAAGGTTGATTGACAGTTCCTTTGAAATAAATAATGCAAACAAATAAACTGGTGTTGGAAATTTGCATACCACATATTTTCTTTATTTCTGATTCTTTTTGTGCAGTTAGTAGTGGAGTCCTGTATATGGATTTGGGCTTCTTATGAGATATTAAGATAGGTACGCTCTCCCTTTCTTCAGTAGTCTTTCCATTCAGTACTGTTTATAGTTTATGAGTAATATAGCATTATTTATCAGGTGGCACCCTGAATCAGTAATAACTTGTAAACCTTTCAGAGAGCATGCTATGCTAATGCTAACCCTCATCCTAATGTTGTTCCCTCCTAGTTTTCTGTGATTGATCCAGATACCTTTGTGCGATGACATCAAGGGGTAGAGGCCCTGGAAACACTCCTGGGCGAAAAAGACGGGATGTTGCAGTAGTGACAACAGGGGACAAAATGGCTGCAGACTGCAAGCAGAGACCCCATGCAAATGTGCAAGAGCAGGTATCCATATCATTCCAACCCCCATTCAGATCCCCAAGGGAGAGTTAGTATTGTCGCACCATTCTCTTTGTATCCACCATTCACACTTCTCTGGTTAAAAATATGCCTCTATAGGTCAGAGTATCTGATATATTTGAAAACTTGCCTTTGAAGATATGCAGAGTGCTGGTGGGTACTAGACCAGAAATTCAGAAACTTATTGGGTGGAGGTGGAATATGTAACTAGCATTCATATGCATGATTATTGGAAGGGAAATGGGATGAAAAAAAGCCTCTGCTGACAGAGCAAAACCAGGAAGGCAGGCAAAGAGGTTTTATTTTTTCTGCTAGTGCGTATGCCCATGTTTTTTTTTTTGCACATGCTCATACACCGCAAAATGTAAAGGCGTAGCTGTATAAAATTCTTTCAACCTAACTGAAGAGTCTTGTCATCTCTTAAAAACTAACAGTTTTATTTTAGCATGAATTTTTGTAGATTATAATTGAAGAAGGCTCGTGCTGAAGTAGTAGCACAGGGCAAAGGATCTGCTTGGTAAAATTGGGGGCAGACTGCATCTGGCCCACATATTTCCCTTGTCTTAAAGTATAAAAGTATGAGTATGCCTTGTGCCAGGTATGGAACTAAAACTGGCCTGCTGTTCACTGGCAGTGTGAAAAGACAAAAGAAGGAAAGAAGAGACGGTCCAAAGGAACAGACGTCCCGGATCATGTTCGTGAAGAAGTGGAACGTTGCTATCGGCTCAAGATGCCTGAAGACTTTTATGATTTCTGGAAGTTTTGTGTGGAGCTGGATTGTGATAAACCGTGTGGTAAATTCCAAAACACAACATCTACCAGGCTTAATTTTTAGTTTTAAAAACTGTAGTAACAAAGAGAAATATAGGAAGCCTTTTAAAGCCAAGTACTGTCTCTCACTTGCAATTAAAAAAAAAACCTATGTTCTCTAAGCTACATCCTTTAGTATATTCATTTAAAAATGTTGGACAGCTTCAGAACTATTCAAGAGTAAATGACTTATATATTATAGGTCACATGTGTTAATTGTTATTGTTTGTAAGTGAGACCTGCAGCAAAACAGCCAAATCCTGTTGCATATGTTATACCTGTGGAAGTGTGATGAGATCATCAGTTGAGGGAGATTTTGGTAATTAAAGGTTTCCTTTTTCTTTCCTGCAGTGTAATCTGTTTTACTTAGATGCAGGCTGTGGGGAAGATCTTTAATTACTGAACATCTCCTGTGGTGATGTCATCATCCTTTGGCAGGTGTAACTTACACAATAGAATGTTGGTCAGTATTTTACTGTGGGCTGCTCATGTTCATTGTTCCAGTGAGCCAGTCATACCTTTCTGTGGGATACTCCATTCAAGTTTGCCTGTGTTAACAAGTCTTTTCACCAGCATAGCCATTCCTTATTGGGCTGTTCTGCGGCTCTGTCTCCTAGTGATAGTTTATTTTTTCCCTAAAGCAAAGCAAAAGCAAAGCAAAGCGTGCTGCTTATATACCGCCCCATAGCGCTTCAAGCACTCTCTGGGCGGTTTACAATTTAATTATGCAGGCTACACATTGCCCCCCCGCCCCCAGCGAGCTGGGTACTCATTTTACTGACCTCGGAAGGATAGAAGGCTGAGTCAACCTTGAGCCGGCTACCTGGGATTTGAACCCCAGGTCGTGAGCACAGTTTTAGCTGCAGTGCAGCGGTTTAACCACTGCGCCACAAGGTGTTGTTTTTTAACTTCTGCAAACATTAAGCCTTGTACACATTTCTACACATATAACTCTTCTACACATACTTAACTCTGAACATGGAAAACGAGTCCTCATCATGACATGAAAGTAACAACTGTTAAATGTACTGCATGCTCCATGTTATCATGTTTAGGATTATTCTGTGGTGAGGTGAAATTAGAAAACTGAGCAACTGAATCTTCTATGCAGTAATGACCATCCATTGGAAGTTTCTACCTCTGCCTAGTGTTTGAAGTAAAAAGTCTTTACATCTCTTTCCAGGTTTGAAAAGTAATATTCTGTTTTAAGAAGTTAATAACTCAGACTGTGATACGAAGAGTTCTTTGTGTAAGGCTCCCACCCCAGTGAGGAAGTGGGTATATGGGGCCTTAATTAGCCTAGAAATGGATAGATGGGGCAGTACCTTGGGAAACTTTCAGTTACAGTGGATAAGCAAGAGTGGGTACAAAGAGCTTCATTTCCAGTAAAAGCTTTTTAAAAAATGTAATTTGGGATGATTAAAAAAGCCAGACCATTATCTATACACATTAAATAATAGGTATTTTTGTGTTCTAGATGCACTCAAATCAAGCCTTGGTCTTCAGCTGGTTGGACCATATGACATTCTAGATGGAAAACAGAAAAAGGCAAATAGATCAGGGGATGTCAACTTCAGTCTACACTGGAGATTTTTTTATGACCCTCCTGAATTCCAGACAATCATTACTGAAGACAGCAAAACACAATATCATATGGGATATTTCAGGTGAGAAATACATTTTGTTTTGGAGAAACTCCTGAAGTGGATAGAGAGCTGTGTTAGTCTATTCTAGTAAAACCAACAAAAGCTTCCCTGGCACCTTAAAGACTATTTTATTTGGCATACATTTCCATAGACTGTGGCGCACAGCTTGGCTGCAGTGTACGAAAGCTTATGCCAAACTGTAAGGATACTACAATGCCCTTTGTTCTTCAAAAATTACATCCTTCTTGCATAGTTATGCAACCTGTGTAACTTTTGGAAGTGGACAACCATGAGTTGAGAATACAGTGGTGCCTCGACTTACAATTGTCCTGACTTATGACGAATTCGAGTTACGACCAGCTATGGCCGCAAAATTTTGCTTCGACTTGCGACCGGAGCTTTGAGTTACGATCAGAAAAAAGGTGGGGGAAAAGGCAGGGAATTTAAATTACTAACCGTTGGTAAGGGAAGAAGCTGCTTCTTTGTAGCTCTTTCACCCCAACGGTTAGAGTGTGTGTGTTTGCATAGAGGCTTCGGACTGCCTGCCTGGTGCTGCTTTCTGCTGCTGAGTGAGTACATACAGGGTTTTGCAGGGTGGGTTTGGGCTGGGAGTGGGGGTTATGCTTCTGTGCTGTGATTTTTCTTGATGTTGTTGTTGTTTTGGTGTATGTGTTTCTTTCGGCCCCAGCGTGTTCCGATGGGGCATGCTGTGTTGTTTTAGTTTTTGGTGATTTTTTTTCAGCCCCAGCACATTCCAATGGGGCTTGCTCTGTTTGTTGTTGTTTTTTAGCAATTTTTCCCAGCCCCAGTGCGTTCTGATGGGGCTTGCTGTGGTGTCGTGTGTTTTTTGTGATTTTTTCCCCCGGCCCAAGGACGTTCCAATG